ATGGGGTGGACTCCTGAGACACAGGCACATCCGCTGAGCCCTGGCGAATATTGTTTCTCGACGGCAAAGTCCGAGAGATTGGGAACAAGGAGTCTTCGATGGCCGTAATTATACGAATCTGAGTCTTTGCAGGCAGGGAATCCTTTCTTTCGGTGCCATTAGGCTCCAGTAGAAGAACAGGACGAAGGCTGTCACCATCTTGAAGCCCAAATTTGACGGTGAGATTCAGTCCCTCTGCTTCCCTAATCCCGGCAGCAAGGCTCGCGATGTAATATGCCCGCTTGTGGAAATAGCGGTAGTTCACGTAATCCTTTTCCTGAAACAAAGCACTGGGCATCGTGACTGCCAAGTCCACCGTCAACGGTACATCGCTTTTGGCACCTGTTTTCAAAGAGAGACTTCCGACCACATTGATATTTGTTGGTTTCGAGTATGATACGGTGTACTTTGTATCCTTGGCCGGTCGAGGTTCAGGGAATGGAACGGTAATTCCATGCGCGCCACGCAGCTCCTTCTCCGCTTCAAAGGTTGATTTTGGTGGCCTATCTGGAAGACATTCGATAACGCTTTTCAACTTGTGAAGTGTCTCCTGGAGTCGCGAGACTTGTTTGTCATAGTTCGGTCTCGACCCATTCAATAGTTCGTCCAGTTGTAGCTTGAAAAAGGTGGATTTATAGAAACCGCTGGCGAGCGCAAGTTCAGCGGAGCGGTCGTTCTTTGCTCGCCCACTGGTGCGCAGAGTAGAAACGTCTCGAGAGGGTTTAGCGGCATCGCTATCAGTCAGGTTATTTCGATTTGATACCGAGTATGCACTATTATTTTGTGTACGCGAGGAATCGTCCGGTGAAGGGCTCAGTCTCCTTCTTTTTGCTGTATGGGCCGACATATTGGAAAGGGTTCAAGAAACAAAAATGCCCTGAGCGGTAATTGAGGAAGTTGTTGGAAATGCGACCCGAGCAGGATAAAATTGGCAGTTGTGTAAAGATTGCCCTCCCCTGTGATGGGATAGCTGTCTCGAATAGACTGCAATGAATGCGTCGTTTTGTTTACTACCTCCAGTCCTTCCCTCTTTTTTTTTTTCCCCTTTGCTGTAATTTTTAGCCTCTTGATTTTTGACTTGACGGGAAAGCAACGTCCGATCTCCGATACCCACTCTCACGTGGAGATAGCTAGCTGAGTAAGCCGCCAGATGAACGGATCTGTAACCAGTAACCACAGTTAGCTATGTAGAAGTTACTCCGTACTCCGTAACTGACTAGTGTAAGTAAGAGGCCGTGTCTTGCATCGTTGGGACCCCAGGTGCAATTGGATTCGTCCCAAGCTACTAGTATTAGTACTACTTAGTTCTACATCAAAGGCCTTTCTTTTTTTCTTCCCTTTAATTTCATGAATTATATAACATAATCACTATTCTCTTGGGTAATCTTGTATTCAGGTCTTGTCATATCTATCTATGTACCTGATATCTGGGTTAGGTACATAAATTTGATACGCCTGGATAATTTGCCAAAATGCTGTGGCTTGAGGTTATCTACACGTGGAACACATTAGCTAACTACTTTGGCATACTTGTATAGTCTCCGTCCATTGTAGATGGATTATATGGGAAGTACTTCGGAGATAGGTACCCCGCATACAGTGTAAGGGTAGCCCTTCCGTATTACCATGCAGCAAGCGCAACAGCCTAACAGTATCAGTCAACCCTCCCTTGCCATTACAGTGTATGGAATGAGGAACAGAAGCAGAAGTAGATTTTTTGGGGCTTATAATACTTATTAATTAGAGACTAATTAGAGACCAAGCATGATGCTACAATGATACTCTATCTAATGAATTGTAAATTGTCCTGGGATGTACTGGTATTGATCATTGGCTAGACTTCTCTGAGGGCAGCGCCGAAATCGCAGTTGACTCATTAGAATTAGTACGACCTACTAGTTAGTAGTTACTTATTGTCCTGACAAGTTTTCTTTACCATCCGCCACCTCGCTAATATTATTTACACTACGTACCTTCTTTTGTCCGCCTCTGTGCTTACTGTCGTCGATATAGTGCCGTTTCCTTTGTGCTACAATGATCCAAGACATCGGAGGTCCAGTCCCTCCTCACACTGATCACGTATGCTCTAACCCCGCGCAACCCCGCCCAGCTTCTATTCACCACCCTTTTAGTTTTTGTCTCGGTCGCCGTCTTGGCTCGGACGAGATGCGCAAGGCTTAGAAGCTAATTTAAATCACATTTGGGCTTTACTCACATCTTCATAGGCAGTCAGTGTATCCCTTCCAACATGGAAAGCGAATGTTGCATACGAGGAAGGAGAGTCATGGGTTGTGAATAAGATGCAATGCGGTTATCCTCGATTCTTTATACACCCCATCATACAGGATCTGGCGAGGGAGATCGTACGTCGCTATGGAAGCCCAGAATTGGAAACGGCTATACTATTCCCTTCCCTCAAAACATCAGGGGTCTGCTATTCATTTCTCAAATCGAAAATACAAGCCGAGGATCCCTGCAATGTCCGGACAATGGATTTTGCCCTTCCCATTCAGGGCGAAGACGCGCCGTCTGGTACGGACTTGATACTATCGTGTGTGATATATCCCATCCAATACGCGCCAATCGCCAAGCAGGTCTGGCAACATACAGGAAATGGAATCTCAAGTAGACGTGCTGAGTTCTGCCTGAACGCTTTAAGGGATGGGTTTCTCGTGGAAAGGAAACCTGTAGCTCAAACTATTGCATCGCCACGGTTTTTCAAGGGGCCCAGGAGGTATCAGGGTCGAGAGTCCATAAGTGGAAAGTCTCAGGGAAGTGGGACGCACGCACGCGACAGTACTACAGGTACAATCACGACAACCAGCAGCATGCAAGATGGCCGCGAACATGTCCAGTTCATTGAAGAACGATTCGGTCGGAATCTAAGCACCTCGCTGGCCGGTCAGGCAAGGCTGGCTGTACGGCGACGCATTGCGGGCGTTTTGACAGCCGATATGGAGCTTAACGAGGCCCTTGAAGAAGAGTCAGGAGAAGGACGTGTCGCGGGGCTGACAGAGTCCGATGTTTTTCTCTTTCCGACCGGCATGAGTTCCATCTTCAACGCTCATCAGATGTTGATGGTTGCGAAGGGAGAGATGAAGAGCATCTGCTTTGGATTTCCCTACACCGACACCCTAAAGATACTTCAAAAATGGGGCCCGGGCTGTTTGTTCTATGGTCATGGTTCTTCGGAGGATCTTGATGACCTGGAGTCAAGGCTACTGAAAGGAGAGAGATTCCTCGCTCTATTCACTGAATTTCCGGGCAATCCGTTACTGAAAGCCCCTGATTTGAAGAGGATCCGATCACTCGCCGACAGGTATAATTTCGCTGTTGTTGTAGATGAGACGGTTGGGAATTTCCTCAACATCAATGTGCTTCCCTATGCAGATATTGTGGTAAGCAGCTTGACCAAGATCTTCAGTGGTGACAGTAATGTTATGGGAGGGAGTGCAGTACTTAACCCCCATGGGCATCATTACGGGCTGCTAAAAAATATATTTGCACGCGAATATGAGGACAATCTTTGGGCAGAAGATGCCGTGTTCCTCGAAAGGAATAGCCGCGATTTCATATCCAGAATTGATAAGATCAATAAGACTACGGAAGACATCACAGCGATGTTGGAGGACTCTCCACTCGGTAAGCTAACAATCAAATCTCTTCGATGTTGGACTATTGGGCGTCATTGCTCATGTACCTGCCCAATGCATTCAATGCTAACTGACTTGCAGTGAAAAGGGTCTACTATCCAAAGTACAACTCTTCAAGACCCTTGTATGAAGCATTCCGCAACAAAAATGGAGGATATGGCGGTCTATTTTCGGTTACATTTCATTCAACGGCAGCGGCAGTTGCTTTCTTTGATCATCTCGAAGTACTCAAAGGACCTAGTCTCGGTACTAATTTTACCCTGAGGTAGGTCATTATCATGGCAGGAAAATGGGCGACAAGCCTGTTAACATTGATGCTTAGTTGCCCTTACACTCTGTTGGCGCACTATAGTGAACTAGAATGGGTAAGTCAACCTCTCCGATCCCCGGCATGGCATGAACTTTGCTTTTAGTTGGGTATATACTCATGCTTTTCATCATTTAGGCAAGCTCGTTTGGTGTCGACTTTGACCTAGTAAGGATAAGTGTCGGCTTAGAAGATGTTTCGGATCTTCGCCAGCGATTTCAGCAGGCCTTGAATGCTGTCGCTGAAGTAAACACATAATGCAGGCTTCCTGGAAAGAGCGTTTATAGACTTACGAAAGCATGCATCATATGACCTACATAACATGCGAGTTTCGAAACCATAGCTCTCTGGGTGACTACATATTTAGTGGACTGCCTGGTAGCTCGGTGAAAGAAAATACTGAACTTCCAAGGGCCTATCATAGCCAATTAGCCATGGCTTGAGGTTCCAGAAACTAGCCCAGTACCGCGATGAACATTTGCTCTATTAACTTTTCACTCGTGTTCCACTTATCTATCAAGCCAACAACAACTCTCCGAGTGTTGTATCTGTGGACCCTTAGACTAGAGACCCTTTGACAACCAAATACAAATTATCTGCACGACATCCATGTCCGTGCCTACGTGTCCCCGTGATCACTGATACTTAGGAGTACAGTGTACTAGCGTGCCTGATGGCCTACAAATACAAATATCAAGGGCCCAAGTAGCTGGGTAAACTTGCCGGTAAGCCATAGGTGATTGATCTTCTTAGTTGCCTTCATGATAAGAAGCAGCTATAAGCTAAACCAGCTGGTGCACCCAGTGCTCCGAAATGCTTTCGATGGTATTTTAAAGAACAGCGATACCTATAACGATAATCAGGACAAAGACTCTAATAACAATAACGGCTGAAAAGCGAAGACTAAACGGTGTAAATAAAGTCTGTACCCACGTTTCTCTACATGATCAGTTAGGCTAGTGCGGCGCCAGAGTCACGAGACTAGCAGTTCGGAAAAAGTCGACTTCCCCAATTTCGTCCGGTACCTCCCCTACAAACCTCTACTTGGCTATGTCTAATTAATCTTAGGCTTTTGGCATATTCTCGTATGTGTTCCACTTTAGCACTCCTTATGTGCTGTATATTTATGTTAAATCAATGATTCACTAATTACTCACTTCTGCTTCCTTGCACTAGGTACCATCTGACGGCCACCTCTTCCTCCAGCTGTAGCTGCTTACTTGCTATCATCTCAGAGCCGAAAAGACTGAGATTGGTCGCGATGGCGAATTGCCTTGCAGCTCCTAGGCGGCCTCTTCTGGCACTGCCATTCCTTCTGCCCTCTCCTTACGAGTGCGTCACCCTAGGTTTGCGACGCAATCAGTCTTCATACAGGCGCACAAAGCAGCGTCTACGTGTCAAGCCAGATGCCTCATTTGGCTCTTCTGTGAGCCATTCTCAAGAGGATCATATCATCTACAACCCACCGTCAAGTGCGCCGTCAGTTTACCACACGCCCACTAAATTCCTGCCCTCTGATGATATCCGGAGAAATTTGCGCAACGCGTCTGTCAAGGGTAGCAACGCCGAATCCCTTCCCCTCGCAGCCAAAGTGACCACCGAGAAAAAATACCATCTAAACCCGTCAGATATAAGAGAGATTCGCAGGCTCAGGGCCACTGATCCGATGACATGGAGTCGGTTGAAGTTGGCCAAGCGCTTCGACTGTTCCCCAATGTTTATTGCAATGGTCTGTGAGGCTAGTCCAGAGAAGAAGGACATCCAAAAGCGAATCCTGGAAGCTGTGCAATCAAGATGGGGATCGAAACGTCGGATGGCCAGAGAAGACCGACAGCTGCGGAAGGAGACATGGGGAAGGGATCAGTAAAGCCACAATCAGCTTTTATTTCCCCCCACTTGTCTTTACCTCAATCACATTTTCTGTCACGCACCGCCTTACTTTCGATTGGGTGTACCAAAGAGACTTGTTCGCTTGCGAACATGCATCGAGGAAGCTCAACATTTGTATAAAATCATGTATTCTAGCGTTGTCACTCTTGGGAAATGAAATGTATTTTAGAAGATTGGCTGTGTTATTGGCTTTGTTTCCTTTTTTT